AGTGGTAGTTTATCAATTGTGATTCTTAATTTATTAAATTCAATTTAGCAGATTTTTATCCACCACTATTTCTGAATTATTCGTAGGGTTATATGATTCACCAATTTATTGTAATTACATTAACAGCCACCTCGTAGACTGCTAAACTCAAACGTCTTTTATTTTAACTTTTTATTTTATTTCATGATGCATGGGATATTGGCATACCTGTCAACTTTTACGCATTTGGCGTAAAATTTTATTTTTATATTTAAAGTGGTAGTAAATATATACTATATTTTATTTTAAAAACTTAATTTTTAAATGATTTTCAAATCATGTCTCATCGTACTGCCCGCGGCGGGAAGGTTAGCCCTCCCGGCCGCTCACGGACCTTATCTACTGATGTTGCAATTAAGTTAGACAAACGGTTTCTACCGCCTAGTGATTATGACACCTATCAGATTAAAGATCATCTACTATCGATTACATCTGATGTTGAAGAAATGAATAGATTGAGCAGTATTTACGTAAAGACTTTCCTCGAAACACAGGATCGATACTATTTGGGTCTCGCCGGTGGAGCCTTTCATGCCATTCAAGCCTTAAATGCCAGACCGAAGAAGCTCTCTTCCATTAAGACTATGGAGCCACCACCTGGGAAAGACTCGCAAACTACCACCACTACAGATGACCAGATGAAGGAGAAAGAGCCCGCAGCCGAGGCAGAATTACTCCCCCCTGAGGCAATGGAATCTGAAATGACGCCTAATCCAATCGAGCCAACAAAGCCAGAGCAGCCAGTTCCTACACCTTCAACTAAGATCACTGATAGTTATCCCGCTGAACAACAGGGAAAGCCTGAGCCATCTGAACAAGAAAAAGAAACACAGAAAGAGGAAATCGAACCTCCAAAAAAGAAGAAGAAAAGGAAGAAGAAAAATCCTCCTTCAGAACCCTCAGAAAGCATCCCACCTGCAACCAACATTCCCGAACCTGTAGTCTCACCTGCAGCCCATTCAGCAGAAGAGATCACAGATCATAAACAGACTGAGAAACTGCATAAGATCAGCAGAAAACTTAAATTTCTCATAAATGAACTATCAGAAGATTCCAAAACAGAGACTTTGGAGAAAGAATTTACAGCAAATGGTCGACGACCAATTAGAGTGGAACAACTGAAGAAGAGGCAGAGCGAAGGATACAAGCTCCTCCCCCTTTTTCTGATCATACTGCCAGATAGCCCAGAGAACATGGATTTCCTCAGCACCAAAGAGATTCTATCATCTAAAGTTCAGATAGAGCGATTTAGAGGAGGTCGTTTTGACATACAGTGCTATCGATGCCAAAAATTTGGCCATACACAAAAGAACTACTCATCTGATCCAGCCTGCATGAAATGAGCGGGTGATCATTTCACATACAAGTGCACTAAACCAAGAAACCTGCCTGCAACTTGCATTAACTGCAAGGGAGAGCATCCCGCCCGTTTTACAGGCTGTGTTGCGAGACCAAGACGAAAACCACCTCAAAAAAATAGAGAGCACAGGAGTGCTAACTATACTGCCACCAGATTTCTTCATATCTTCCGAGAGGTACAAGAACTTCTACGAAACGAGGAGCTGGTTCAACTTCTCCGTTCCCTCTTACCAGAAAACAAGCCATAGTGACATCACTTCTATCCACCAGGCCAACTACTCTTCCTAGCCATCTTCAAAAATTTTTTCCTAAGGACATTATTCTAGGCGCCCACGGGCACTATCTTCGATGAAGCAGTGAAGTGTCCGCTTCGCGGACACAGGTACTGCGTAAATAACTTCAGTTCAAGTTCAAGTTCATGGCTATCAGCTGATACTTTATCAAATGCAACATATTTTATTTGCTTACAATTGAAATTTTAATTTCATTTTACTACCACTTGGAAAAATCATAATGGAAGGGATTAAAAGTTGGCAGGTATATATTGGCCTTCTGCGCGGCCCAGGTGCCCAATTTTTTTATAAATAAAGAAACAAGTAATTACATCATGCTATACCTTTTAAAAACAAGCAAAAATAGTCAAATATTTGCAGAATTTAGTTTGTAGTTACATACCCAGAGTTGCCAACTTGCTCCGGACAGAAAATAAATAGTTTAAAGTGATAGTTTATCAATTGGGATTCTTGGTTTAATAAATTTAATTTAGTAGATTTTTATCCACCACTATTTGTAAATAATTCGTTGGCTTATATAATTCGCCACTTATAGCTTGCATGTCTTGCTATACCTTTTAAAAAGTAAGCAAAAGTAGTCAAATATTTGCAAAATTTACTTTGAAGTCATTTACCGTTTTTTAAATTATTTTGGCGTGTCCGGAGCAGTTAGCATCTCTGTACGTAATAACGAACTGCCAATTTTCTTCTGTTTATTTATGTAAACGTATAAAAATTTTGTTACTTTCTCAATTTTTTCTTGAAACTTTTCATTAAAATATAATTATTTAATAGTTGTAGTGGTAGTGCAGAGATGACAACTGCTCCGGACATGCCAAAATAATTAAAATTACGGTAATTAACTACAAAGTAAATTTGACAAATATTTAACTATTTTTGCTTGCTATTTAAAAGGCATAGCATGACATAATTACGATAAAGTTGTAAAATATATAAGCCTATAAATTATTTAGAAATAGTGGTGGATAAAAATCTACTAAATTGAATTTATTGAATTAAGAATCACAATTGCTTAACTACCACTTTAAAATATATATGTGCTGTCCGGAGCAATCTGGCATCTCTGGTAATGTGCTGTCCGGAGCAATCTGGCATCTCTGGTAGTGTTAAGATTTCGCAGCTTCATAAATTCGAATGTTAATTTTTTACTGTTTTTGTTCTTTAAACGCTTAGATATATTTTTGAAAACGTTTTAAAATATATTGCCGATAAACTTAAATATTAATGACGGACGTTGATGTGTTAATGAATGTTCTTAAAACGCTCAAAGTTTATTTTTTAAAAAGTTTTCGAATGCAGTGTTTGTCGATGAACTTAATCAATCATAATAAATTAAAATATTAATCATAATAAATTAAAAAAGTACTTTAAACTTCTACCGTTTTATAATTTAAAAGTTATTTTTTATATTATTATTATTCCTAATAAGTTTACAATTACTGTAAAAAATCCTAGTCTTAGTTAAATGCTGACATTAGTTAGCACGTAATCTAACAAAAATCGAAAGCTGGTGTTTAAAAAAATGGGAAAACGTATTTAAATATTATAAGTTTGGTTTCTGAGAAACTAAAAAAAATTCACATGTAATACTTGCTGTTATACAACAAACCACTTTTGTTAATAACTTTTGATAAAAGTTTTAATTTAAAAAGCTCATTGCATTCCAAATACCAGAAAGAACCACCAGGCGCCCAGTTATATTTCGATGATGATGATGATAATTTAAAAAGCTCTTAACACGTTGAGCGCCGCTTCAGCCATCGGTGGCTGACTCTGAAATTACATTCAGGCTGCGTCAACCACCGGTGGCTGATACTGACCATTCACATAAGCCGCGAAAAACAGTTGGCTGACAGCGTATAACGTGATATAGAACTATAAAATTTGCATTTATGGAATTGCAGAAAATTTATTCAAAATTTACTTTATTATTGTGATTCTTTATTTAATAAATTCAATTCACCAGGTTTTTATCCACCACTATTTCTAAACAATTCGAAGGATTATATAATTTACCACTTTTTTATATGTGAAAAGCTAAACTTTTAAAAACTATCAAAATTTGTTGAATGTTTGCAAATTTAGTTAGTAGTTATTTACCGTTGTGGCCTGACGGGCAAGACATGTAAAATTAGCGTGGCGCTCAACGTGTTAATTAATATGCATTGTTGAAAAAGCTGCGTTCACCCACAATGACATTTTCAATGTTCAGCAACTTCAAAAAGTTCCCTGGGCATCAATTATTTTCATTAGTGTTATAAAACGTTTTTCAGATGTTCTTTGATGTGTCTTGGTTAATTATTATTCTGTTTGATTAACTCTACGTTTAATTATTTTTTTACTGCTTGAACCTATTCAAATGAGCTGTGTTTGAGAGAATATTTAGTGACAAAATGAAAATTGAACCATTAAGTAATTAATTAGTCTATTTAGCTACTTATACAACTTAGATTAATAAAAGTACGTAATTTGCCCTGCAATTTAGAAAAAAAAACAATGCTTTACGATTGATTTCGAGAAAAATGGATTGACAACAGGTTTCTACCTATTGCAAACGCTATGAAAGCTAAAAACAATTTTTAGAAAACTGATAGAAAAAAGATAGATACTGCATTGTTTACATATATATAAATAATTTGTTTTATCGTTTAGTTTTATTTTGATTTTAATATTGCTCGGTATAATAAAGCAAAGCGCAGGGAAAAAACTGAAATTAATTGATTCCTCATTGGAACATATGAACATGCTTAAAAAGTTCTAGAATATAATGAAGAAGAAATATACATAATATTACCTAAGATTTCCGTAAGAATGATGACAGATATTTTCATATCATCATAATAAGCTAACTAAGAATTAAAGTCCCGCAGTGGACAGATCGTTAGGACACGGTTCCCAACAGATTACCGAAGTTATGCATCACTGGCTGCGGTCAGTGTGCGGGTGGGTGACCACTTGTATCAGTCTGCGTAGGTACCGAGTGTGTGCGGTATTGGTCCTCGTTAAACTGTTCTACCGTAAAGTGCTCCATTTCACGAGCAGGTCGTCGGGCTACCGAAGCGGGGGTGCCATCCCCTCTTCAGAGGATCAAATTTGCGATGGCATGTCTTCGGATCCTCAGGGATGTTTCCCAAACCGTCGTCAATAGCCCATTGTGCAGTTCAAGTGCGACGTAAATGAACTACAACAACAACAAATGGAGGTGCAACTGTTTTGAGATTTTTTTCACATTATTATAACAAGAATGTACTAAGAATTAAAAGTATTGTTTTATTACCTTTGAATTTACCAAAGAGGTTGTGATCCTCCCCCAATTCTGCTGTCTCTGGAATAGCTTGTCGGCACTTCAGGTTTGTTTCTCTGCAAGACAAATATACTTCATTTGAAGGGAAAAATACATACACACAGTAATCAAATATTTAGAAGAATTTATCAAAGATCGTAAAGAAAAACGAATGTGGGTAAATATGACAGCTTAAAATAAGTTTTAACTCTATCACGTTAATATATATATTAGTATCTTAACAGTCCTTCATAAAATATTAAATGGTAGAAAAATAATAATTCTTCTTACCAACGTTACGTTATAATGCCAAATATTGATTTCTCGAGACAAGTACGTTCCCAATAATCCAGCTATCCCTTTTTATCTATCCCCAACTATGAAAACGGTATTTTAAAGATAACAAAATAATTAACAAAAGAACAACTGTAGCAAAAGAATTAACATGCTAATTCTTTACATTTTATCACCGTCGTTGAACAGCCGACGCAATTTTGAGTTTATGATTACCAATATTCAACTCCGTAGCCTGGTAATTTTGACCTAAAAGGCAAAGGTATTCCTGGATCAAGTATTGGGCGAAATTAGACTTTGTAGAGGACTTTTTTGATGGAACTAACCGCATTTGCGTTACACAGAGATGAAAACCACTAAAACCTCAAACAGTTTGCCTGACGGCAAGGGAACTCTAACCCATGATCCGTCAAAAACTGAGGATATTTACGTCAGCACTGTGGTCGGTGCAAACCAGATGTGGAATTCGTATCTACCAGCCATCTCTGGGATTCGAACCCGGTTCACCTCATTGGAAAACCTCACAATGTATGGTAAAATGGAAAAAAATGGTCTTGGCCAACAAATGTCTGACGAGTCAATAAAAAAGAAGAAGTAGCTATAGTGAAGTATGTAATAAAAAAGAAACTGACCCGTCCAATTCCGCTGTTTCGATGTAACAGAGTCCGTTGGGTTCACTGGAGGACAAAAGGACGAGATCTGCCTGCGAAAAAGAAAGCATTAGTATCATTCATATGACGTATTGTAACGTCAGAGCCAGTGAAAAACAGTCTTAAAAATCTATGAGCATCTGAACACAAAGAAAGTCAGGACTCACAGCTACAAATTGGTCATTCTCCATTCGGATGATGTCCCCAACTTGGACTTTGTACCATCTTTCGTCCATGAGGTGACCTTCACGTAAGACTTGTGAAGATCTGTTATTAACTTGGCTGTCACTCCGGTGGCGTTGCTGCAAATATAAAAAGTATAACTTACATTGCATTGATCTAAGAATTAAAAAACACACGCAAAGTAGAAAATTTTTTTTTTCAAAGGAAATTGGTTGAGCTTGTCCCCTAGTCATTCGTCTGGAGTAGTGGCGGTTGCTATGGTAAAGAGGTTTAATTATTTCAAGTATAGGTGTTGGGCATTATTTAAGACAGACTTTGACTCGGGTTGACGAGAGAAAGGGAACCAGGGGAGAAAGAAGCTCCCCTTTTTGAAATGCGCTATTTCTTTTTTTCCATAGCAGCGGACGGCCTTAGACTACGTGGCGTAGGGAGTTCGCTCTATAGACAAACTATAGGTAGGCACTTTATTTACATCGCACTAGAGCTATACAATGGGCTATTGGCGACGGTCTGAAAGGAGAAAAATTCCTAATACGACGCATTCTTTTAAAAATTAACATTAGAACATGATAATCACAATGATGTTCTCCATTAACATATGTGTTAAAAAGGCTATCGATGTTAATAATTTGAGAATGTCTGACTTTACAAAACTCAAAAGCACCGCAATGTTACTTAAAAGAATAAAAGTGTAAACAAATATTTAAAATATTGAAAAGATGTCTTAATATCGGTCGGTAAAAAAATAGTACAAAGCATATTAAGTAAAAATATTAAGCTCTAATTGTTATGATTTTAAACAATGGTTAGTTCAGTGGTCAAAAGTAGCAAGCTACAAGTAGCGAAACTACTGTAGGTGGTATTTTTTTTTTTTTTTTGTAGTTTGTACTAAAGTTTGTGTGCTAAAGTTTAAAAAAGTAGGTTAGCGAGCAGTGTGACGCAAAGAAAAAGTTGTTTGTAGCAATTTTTGGCAACTACTTTTAATGTTAGTTCAGTAAAAAAACAAGATTCAAACGCAACAAATTTTTCGAATCTTATTGGAACAAATCTTTGTTTCTTCGTCAATAGATATAATAAGAATTCCCCTGTGGCTGAACATAAAGACACATTACATGTTACTAATATCTTAACTAGCCATTACGAATACTTGCTAATTTATCACTTTGGCCTCCCTTCAAATGCGAATATACACTTAAAAAAATCAATGTTATTTCAATGGAAAGAAACATATTTTCTTTGTTATTTTTGATGTACTTTATTTCTTTGAGTAAATAAAAGAGCTTTAAACACTTATAAAATTGCAAAGTGTTTGATTATTTCCAACCATTTTTTAAAATTGATTATTCGCTGTTAAAAAAGGCACGAAAAAAAGTAAAGGTTCAAAGAACAAAATCTCAAAAAATGGTTTAGAATGAAAAACTGGCTGATGTAAACACGAATAAATATTTCCTAATAATTTCTCAGTGTTTAAATAAGCTAATTTCTTTTATTCAAAATCGTTTCGAGCATAGGTGTAAATGAGTTCTCCAGCAGAGTTCGTCTCCAAAAAAAGCTGTGAAATATTGACTACATTTCAAAAGTAATTTGCAGTCGTTACATTTAAAAAATAGTAATTATTGTTTTAATTAGCTGCATTTCGAAGAAAATAGTAGTACAGCCGATCGAAATCTTCCGTTTGCTCATTGCTGATTTCATAGTGCCTTTTCATTTGTCCATTTGTTTCACAGTTTCATTCGTTCATTTGGTTCAAGTGCCAGATTTGTTGGCCACTCTTTCAGGGACAACATGTTTCGTACACAGATGGTACTGAGAATGAAAGAACATCCATGTTTTTGTCTGGGATTCGAACCCTGGACTCTTCTGATATGAGGCCAGCTTCCTGACCACTACACAGTCCAGTCGGCCATTTAACTATATAATCAAAGGTTAATTTGGTAAATTTGGGGAATGTTTTTCTAACAGTTTAGTTCGATGAAACATCAAAATCGTAAAATAAATCTATATAAATGTAGCAGAATGTTTATGTGTATGTATGCACCTAATATAAATCCGCAATTTTGAGCCAATTCGCACCAAAGATGGTATACAAATGTTCGGAGACACTGCGAAACAGAAGAAAATAACAAGCCAAACATTACAAAAATAACGATAACTCTCCCGAAAATATAGCGATTATAAAAATAATAGTGTTGTTACTAATTATAGACGATTATAATTAATTAAGTTTCATTATTGGTAATAGATGAAATGAAAAAATAATTGTATTAAAATATTAAATTAACAGAGAAAAAGTACTCATTCGTATATGACAACTGTAAAAAATTGCCTTACTGTCATTGACGCAAATCATGCTAAAGTAATTCAGATAATAGGTACAAATTGAAATAAAAATGTACTAAATAGATAAATTAAGTGAGAAAATGTACATAATTGTCTAGGAGAAACGTGACGAAATCGCCATATTAAAAATGGCTCCAATCATACTTAAATAATTTTTATTAACAGGTACTACTGGTATAATGAAAATTGCTGTTTTTTGAAAGATACTAAATATAAGTATCAATATACTTACTATTGCTAATGTGGAAATAAGTTTTTTACGGTCCAATAAAAAGGATATGCACGAGAGAAAATTATTGAGTATGATCATTTTTGGTTATTTGGAGTTATCTTGAGCATTATGATAAATGATACTGAATATAGTTAATACTTATTTCGATGGGATGCAATTCGCAAAACATGTTTTCTTAATCGTATAAGGTAAAGCCAGCGGGAAGGGAAATAAATAATAATAAATAATTATAAACAGTTCAATATACATAAATAATTATAGATAGTTTATTATTAGACGATGCTCTAGTGATGTCATATCCGGCCGTTAATCGGAACTTGTTTCCTTTATCACGAAATATCATAGTCCGTAATCATTGAAGTTGGCAGTAGCTGGAATCATCGTGATTCCATTACCTCAATTGCTGCTACCTGAAAGCTGTAATGTTAACACGATCATGTGATTAATTGCAAGTACCTGTTTGTGAGCCGTGCTAGCTCAGGGGATCGAGCTTTCGTTTTTCAAAGAGGTGAAAGGGTTCGAATCCCAGGGAGGGCTGGTCAATATGAATTCCGCACCCGGCTTGCACCGATCACAGTGGTGAGGTAAAATATTCTCATTAGCAGACGGATTATGGGCTTGAGTCCCCTTGCCGTCAGGTTAACCGTTTGAGATTTTCATGGTTTTCCACTTCCTGTATCACAAATGCTGGTTAGTTCCATTAAAAAAGTCCTCCATGAAGGCAAATTTCTCCCAATACTTCATCCAGGAGTTCCCTTGCCTTCTGGATTAGGTTCAAAATTACAAGGCTACGAACTTGAACGTTAGTAGTCGTGAACCCGAAAAATTGCGTCGGCTATTCAACGACAGTTATTAAGTACCTATTTGCGAGCCACGGATGTCACCAATGTTCATAATCAGAGTCACCCGAATCCTTATGATGGCAAAAAAAGCAGGAAGATACTTACGAAGTCATCGATGGCATCTTTTAGTGCTGTCACTGTGAGTACAACCGCTAGAGGCACTGCAGTGGTGACCGGAGTCAGGGAAGAAATGTGAGGTATCAGCTGCAACACAGAATTAACTATTAACAACCTTTACAATTATTATTACGAAAACTGATAGCTACATTTCTAATGGATTGCCGAAGTGCTTATGTTTGACCTATTGTTATTGTATTGTTGCACCGAATAGTTTTCCATTGAGAGGCTTTGTCTAAAGGCTTGGTTTCTTAGGACAGGACGCCGTCAGCTGGAAATCAGCGCTAACCTCTGATTGGTCCATTTGTGAGTTTGATAGTATACGTCATCGAACGCTCATCTTGAACTACAATTGCCGTCCAACTCAACTGCAGTTGGATTACAACGTGACGTTAACCACAGAAGCAATGGCGGACAACATCCAACGGCACATTGAAATCAGCCAAGATTCTGATTTTGACATTAATCATAGCACTCTTCATTTAGCTCAGCTATAATGTGTTTTTTCTTGGAGAAAGTCATTATTTGTTCTCTAAAACACTGGTCGACAAAAACAAAATCAATACAAATTCAAAATAAATATTTGTTTACGTTATTAACGCATGCGCAATGAGAGATAATGTCTGCGTTGGATGGACTGCTCACGCTGAGTTAACTACTCTGAGTTAACTCTACATCAATTTTCCGCTGACGCCCAGATAAGGAGCTAGTTCTAAGAAACCAGGCCTTGAGCTAACAAACCAGTATTTTGTTGGAGTCAGCGGGACGTTGACGTCCCGCTGACGCCCAGATAAGTCGCTAGTCCTAAGAAACCAGACCTTAAGACTTGCGTAAACTGGAAAATAATACATAGTCATGTTTGATTCTTTAGGGCTCGAAATTTTTTCCGACTGTCGATCACTAAGAAATGAAACTTCTTTTGGCGGAACCCCGATTTTGTAGATGAAGTATATAAGTGCAATTGTGAACGAATTAATCAATAAAATACTTTATTTTGAAAATATTTTATAAGAGGAATGATATTTTTTCATTCTTTTTCCATCCTATTATAATATAATATTAGATTTTATGTCCGTCAATCCTCGAGCTGTATCTGGTCTAGTTATTAATTTGCGTTTGGCGCCAGATACATAAGCGGAAAATGAATAAAACAAGCAAAATTACGTGTTTTTTTAAAATGAAAACTAAAAAGAACTGCAATAAACATTGTTACAATGGAACCTTTCAGGAGCGACCACTCTACGTTCCACAGTAAAATGGTATTTAGTGGTAGTTGGTCGTTCTTAAAGGTTACCTCCATTGACTTTAAAATGTTATCGAGGGTACATGAGTTTTCGCAAACGATTTTAATTTCAGTCTGTGTCATTTCCTTGGTGTGAAAAAATACCATTTGTGTTGGTTTCATGAAAACCAGATCGATGAATAAAATTTAGCGTCAATAAAAACGATCCCTAACGATACAATTATTAGTAAAAACAAATTTACCAGTAATGAATAATAGAACTATTTAATTTAACTCATTTAATTTTTTATATCATAAAAATTAGTTAGGTTTAAAAAATAAGAAGAGTTTTTTTGTTTTGTTTGAGAAGCTTAGTTTTTTCTAAATAAAATTTTATTTCTAATGTAACTTTCAATTCTAAAAATAAATCATTGATAGCATTCGTCTTTAGCGCATTCTGACTGCAGCATAATATCCTAGTTTTCTTTCAGGGATCGTCAGAAAGAGATCTCTTATTAAGAAACTCACACAAATATTTTGACCACACACAATATTTAATCTACTAATTGGTTTTGGCTAATCTTTTGTGTTTTGATATTTTTTCGTGTTTTCTTATTTGACCTATTCCGCATTTGGTGCAGAGGTTTTCCCGGTCGCTGGGAGAGGTTTTGATGGTCTCTCCTAAAGATTTTCCTCAACACGAAGTCTATGGAAAAAATTCTGTGCCTTCCATAAGTGGTCGTAAATAGAGGAGGTCGCTACACAGAGGCCACTCCTGGAGGTTTCACTGTATAAGGGAAATATATGTCTTTGTTAACAAATCTAGTTATTTTCTTTTGATATGAAAATCGCAACGAGAAAAACGAATGCACTTTTTTGGAATTGCATGTCCATTTCATAGTTAATTATATATAATGTTATGAGAAAACTCAATTTTTAAAGTAAAAAGGATTGCCGTTTGTCCTTTGCTAACATTTTAATTTCATAAAGGCGATAGAAATGTTAAATAAATATCTAACTATGATTAAAGGTTTCAAAAATTAATACTGTTTAAAAAAATCCTAACTCTTGGAACATATTGAGCTCTTTCACGGAACTCCAGTGTTCTGCGAAACATTGGGGTTCAAAAAGTTAACAAAAAATTGTAACTTTACAATTTAAATCTTTAATTTTGCGAAGCAGTTTTTAATTTTGCATTTAATTTAGTTTGAAAAATTTAATTTTGCAAATCAGAGACATTTACGTACACCAAAATGTATTTGTAATAAAAATACACTTATATTTTGATTAACTGTCGATTTACTGTAAGTTTGAATCGGTGATTTGTGAGAGATATTACACAAAATGTATGTTATTGTGATGAAAAAGTAGGTGGCAATTAGGGGTGGTTAATTCCGTCCCCCCCCCAAAAAAAAGAGAAAAATAAATTTTCTTACTGCCAGAATATTATATTTTCCTACAAATCTAATCAAAAAATAAATTCAATTTTCAAAAGCCATGTTGAAACACTAAAGGTAAGTAAACATATTAAAAAATTACAACATTAAATCAAATTGGAAAAGCGCCTAATGCAGCTAAAACCAAATTTGCTTTATATAATCCAGAAACATGTAAAATCTTTAAAAATGAAAATAAAATAAAAATGTGTGTTTGCAAGACAGCACTTCATCAGGGTGTGCAGACAGCCTGCAAAGTTTCTGCCCTGAATATACTTTTGGATGATTCTTCCAAGCCATTCATCAAAGACGGGAGATATTTTTTTAGATGTGGTTTACTTAAAATATTTTGAGTACTTTACAGATATCAATAAATAAGCGTAAATGATTTTTGCTATCTGCTTTCTTTTCAAATATCGATCCAAAAATAAAATACAATAAAAAAAAATTACCTGGAGGACGAGGAGACAAAGAAAATAAAAGTTGGCCAAACGTTGGAACTGTTCAAACAAGTTTTGAGGCACGAAGGTGACCAAAGAATACTTGGATGTTTTGATGAAATTGTTCTGAAACAAAAACAATTATTACTGCATCTGCATTTTAATTTGGTTATCTAAAGTCATTCTTTAACAGAGATGATTGATTTCAGCTTAGGCTTCGTCGAATATTTTATTTGATATGGGCCAACGAATTCTGTTCGCTGACTTTCACCAACGCCTCCTTCAACTGAAAGCCTCCACACGGTTTTTTGTAGGTAGTCCGATCAGACCACTATGATGGTAAACCAGTTTGCGAAAGAGCCCTTTCATAGAAAATCTAGTAGAAATTAGAAATTGGCAGCAAATATATGTCTGAAAATTTGTTTAACACGTTCACGCCGGGGTGACTCACCGGTGGGTCACGCAAGATTGTCTCATCGGGCGGCGCATCGGAGTAAAAACTGGTAACAAATAAATTTCATTTTTTAGTTTTTTTCCGGGAATAATAAAAATCCATAACTACCGTTAGTTTTTAAACGGATGCAATTTTTATATTGAATTGCTTCTTCGACGTGATAAATTTCTTTACAGTGAATTGTTATTGTTGAGATTATATTAAATCCTCCCGAATATTATCTAATATTGAAATAGTTCTTCTACCAGTATTTTCTCTTTTCCGTCCCGCTTTCAGGAGCAACACCCGGCGTGAACATGTTAATATATGAATATGATTGATTTGTCTCATTTACTTGTCTACCATTACAGATTCCATTCTCAAATATATATGACAAATTTCTCTCAGACGCTTTTAAGCTACAATTTGGGTTTGAGCGCGCAGCAGGTTCACTTTTTAAATAGTCTGCGCAGACTACTTATAAAAAACCGTGTGGAAGCTTTTTGATGTAGGAGGTAATACTTTCACCAACCCCATGATTTTCCCATCCGATAATTTTTGTTTCTGGGCGTAAGACAGTTATACTTTTCAAAGGTTGAAATTAATCACTTAAAATGTATGTACTGAAAGATTCTTGTTTGATCAAGTTCCCTACTTCCACACATTTCTTTCATGATTTTATTAAGATCAATTTGTGAGCATAAATAGTTTTAAGGCCTTGTTGTAGAACAAAACAAAAAGCAAGCGAAATTTTTGAAAGGAACCATTAAAAAAGTCAGGATATTAGAATAAATTTAAAAAAAACTTATATTAGAATATATATATAATGTAAATATATACAATGTAAATATATGTAGATACACAACATATAAAATCTATATAACTATATAGAATAAATTTAAAAAAAATGAATTTGGTTAATCATATAATACTTTGGCATATCATATAATCCTTTGAATTATTTAGAAGTAGTGGATAGTAAAAACTCTATGAATCTAATTTACTAAACCAAGAATCATAGATTAAAAGAGTACCACTGAAAAATATTTATCCACTCTCCGGAGCAAGTTGGCATCTCTGCATTGCATACCTGCCAACTCTCCCGCATTTTGCGGGAGATTTTATTTTCATATTTAAAGTGGTAGTAAATATATGCTATTTTTTTCTTTTATAAATTTAATTTTTAAATGATTTTGATCACAACTATTCTTACAAAAATTAAGTTTATATATTAATATGCGTTACTATCATGGCTGTAAACTTAATTTTTTTCAAATACAACGCATTTGTTTGCTTAAAATTGAAGTTTTAATTCCATTTTAATACCACTGGGAAAAATGATAATGGAAGGGATTAAAAGTTGGCAGGTCTGGCATTGTATTATTACACTTCTTTTTAACCTCTTCGAGACGGGCGAGTCATATATGCAACCTCATGGTGTCGATAATCAGGGTAAAAAAGATAAAACTGGTAGCCAAACTATATTTATAGCAATTTATTTGTGCGTTGTTAAAAAATAGTCGTCTTTATTTAATTCACTACTACATAGTTCGAATTAAAAATTGTATGGTTACACTTTCAACACACAAGGATCGGATGTGTTAGGTTTAATATATATATATATATATA